CCCCCAGCAGCCTCATTAGCCAGCCTTGTAGGTTTGTGTTTTCTCTCCCCTTTCGTTAGTTCCACTCGCCTACTGCACTTTTGCAAATTTGTTTTGAGATCATTTTACCAGAGGAGCCGGGGGCTCTTAAGGGCTACTAATTACAGATTTTTTTTTTTCTTCCCGAGTGACAGGCTGCTCCATCCTTTCTTCCCCTTCCCCCAAAATATTCAAGGGAAAAGGAAACAACTTTTCCTAGCTCCTCAAAGACTTTTGAGAAAAGGCACGTTTCTTAACACCCCCAGCCCCGCTGGATTAGGAGTTAAAGCTGCGAGCTAAAGCTCTGCAAGCCAGGAGAGCGGGACCCGGAGGGCCAATTGGCACTGTGCACCGGGATACGTGGAGATAAAACCCCTGAAAGGTGATCAGAACCGCAACGGGCACTTTAAAGATCAAGTTAGTTTATTTGTGCACAAAGCATAAATCTGTAAACAGGTCTATTTTAGCCGGGGCAAACGTGGTAAATCAAATTGTGTGTGTGTGTGGGCACGCCACGGCCCCGTGAAGAGTTCAAGTTACTGCCGAGCAGAAGCGCTCCCGACGGACGGCTCCTTAGGAAAACAACGGGGAACTGCCCCGTTTCGGATGTGGTCCAACTAAACAGCAACCTGCACCTCGGAGCGGCAGAGGCCTGCAGTTCTGAGCTTTTCCCCTCTCTGTAACTTTACTCCTTTATCAACTCTCTCCTTTTCCTACAGTATTCATTTCAAAGGGGGCTCCCCTCGTTTATGGCCCCAAATAAACCGAAGCAGTGCAGATGTAGCCTTCCCCAACCTTTAGATAATTATGCATCTGCTCGTAGGAAGAAGGGTGTGTACATGTTAGGTTGGGGTTTTTTTTTTTTGGTTTTTTTTTTGGTTGGTTTGGTTGGTTGTTTTTTTTTTTAGCAAAGGTTTTCCCCTAAGAGTAGAAATCTGCCTTTTGGCTTTTTTTGGGGAGGGGTTGACGGGACGACAAGGAGCAGATGGAGACTCTCCAGCCCCAGCCACAGCTGCCGGCCTCTCCCGGGAAGGTTTTCCAGCGGTATGCCCTTGTGCAAGGCATGTCTCTGAGGAGGTGCTCTTTACCCGTCTTGAAGAGCGGCTCCTTGAGACAACGGGATCACCGTGCCCTCCGCATTACCTTTTCCTGAAGAGAGGCTACTTGAAGACGCCTTGGTTTTTGGTTTTTGGGGGTTTTGTTTGTTTGGGTTTTTTGTTGTTGTTGTTGTTGTTGTTGTGTTGTTTTGTTTTGTTTTTCCTGGGCGCACAGACCGCCTCGGGAACGTTTGAACCGCTGCTGGGTGACTTGCTCTCCGTTTGCATTAACCTAGGTCACATAATTTTATTCCCAGGTAGGGAAGGTTTCCCTTTGGCCTTCTCATAATATTTTCCTCAACTACAAAAGCCACCTGGATGAAACCAAAGGATTCCTGAGCGTTAGCAAATGCCTGTTAAATGGCTTCATTACCGCTCTAATGACCCCTGCACCGCTCCGCTCAGCTACTGCTGCGGCTGGAGCTCTGCAAGGCTTTTGTCCCCCACTTGTGTAAAGTTACTTAGGGATTGCGGGGTTAGAAATTTTACACTTCCAGGAGGGGTTTGTTGCACTGGCAGCTGGGACGCATCTGTAACGGTACAAGTTTGCCTGAAAGCAGAAAATCAGCAAGCCCAAGGCACTGCTCGACTGTTGTGTCTCTTAGCAGCACCAGGTCACACGAGTAAGAGAAGGAATGGGAAGGGGATTTGTCTGGGAGCAAACACGTACACTTCTCTTTTGTGAGTACCTTTCCCTGTGATCCGATACGACAGCAGTAAAATCTGCGTTTCCCCCCTCCTCGTCTCTCCCTGCCGCACGTAGCTGTGCATTTTTGTCCTCCGGCTTGTAAATTTAAAACGGTTGCTGACACAGCTTTAATTACAGGACAAGGCGCTCTCCAAGATCAATGTGCAAACCTTAAGTCTGAAAAGAGGGGTAAACTGTTTCAGGTTAGACCTGGACTACGGCCTGCGGGGAATAAAGACACCCAGGCAGACACTGTAGGTGCTGGTAGGGGGGGCTCCACGTTAGTTCCCCCGGGGGCAGAGCCGATGTCCCTCCCGCTGCAGCGTGTGATGGGAGATGGGAACACAGGGACGAGGAACGGCTCTGTAGGAAATATGGGCGGCCACTGCCCCTCTTTCTCCTTCCATAGCAAAAAATTGCAAATTCCCAGACTTGGTTTAAACTTCGGAGATGCCACCAGCTCTGGGGAGGCCGTGCATTAGAGACGTGCCCAGCTCACCGCTCTCCAAAGGAGCGATGCGGGGCAAATCGTCTCCTGGGGACCGAAGGGGGCTTGCCCAGACAGCCCCCGGCGGGGGATGTGGTGGGATATGCTAATAAAGACCGGCCG